GGCAACACGTATCCTGGACTCATATGTTCAACACTACGCTTCGAACTCTCATTTAAAGATTTTTCAGGCTTGATCCAAGGTAATGAAGGGTAACTCCAATTCCTTGATTCAAGAGCCATTTATTAGGCATCAAGGCACCTTGGAGAGCCTACATAAAGGGTTAAAAATAATGAAACTACAATTTACAAACCATATGTACATTTATTTCACAGTATCATTAAACATGTCACAAATTATAATAGTCTATCCTGGGGGAAGAAGAGGCAGAGGTCGAGTTCTTACTGGACAAAATAAACCAGGATTTTATTAATTTTGTTTTTGTTTACTAAAACAATAGTCTAGACCAGTGTTCATCCTTGTGGCTGGTGTTTCACGTTTTTTAGCAGGGGAAACATTTATTATAAGACGTTTCACCCATGGTAGGGGAAAGGTTATGCGATGTTTCACTCACGGTGGGGGAGGGTTATGCGATGTTTCACCCACAGTGGGGGGTAGGGTTATGCGATGTTTCACCCACGGTGGGGGGTAGAGTTATGCGATGTTTCACCCACGGTGGGGGATAGGGTTATGCGATGTTTCACCCACAGTGGGGCTTTATTCCACAACTACGATACTCTTCACCAACATCAAGGCTGAGGACCGATTACCTCATCTTTGGTATACATTTCCACTGTCTTCCAATTAAGTCCTTGAATTTGTATTGATAAAGCCACTGGATGGCGAAACGTCTACAATAAAGATACCCATGATGTTGCAGATGCGCTTTCCTAAGTTCACGAGAAAGTCGCTTTTGGGTTTTTCATGATAAAATGACGTATTATCGACAAATATGAATAGAGGGGCAAGATATAACCGGATGTTATTGCTAAAACTTTTCGCTCTGTGAGAAACATGCGTTAAAGTGTCCTTGGCACGTCGCCCACCTCATTATTCCACACGTTTCGCTCTCTCTAGAACTTCTATCTTCGTAATAATGTTGGTAGAATTATAGACAATATGTTAGGTAAAAGGACACAAGTACAACTAATGTGACATTTTATTGTGGCAACGTTTCGCTCTCCAGGAACTTGATCAATGCGTAACAAACAATACATGGGCACAGAGGGTATGTCAAGCCGTTATTGTTTGTAACGGCTTGGCAAACCTCCTGGAGAGCGAAACGTTGCCACGATAAAAATGCCGTACTAGTTGAATTTGTGTCCTTTTTACCGAACATTCTATTAGAAAACATTTCGGTCCTGAGACCTTTATCACAAGGTCCCAGGACCGAAATGTTTTCTAATGTGTCCTAGTATTTGCTTACATGTCTTATTAAATCTATAGGGTGTCCAGTAGCTCTTTTGGTAGTCACTCACCTCACACATTTAGGTCCACGGTTCGATCCCCGGTACGGGTGGAAACGTTAGGCCGTGTTTCAAGACACCTGCTGTCCATGTTCACCTAGCAGTGTTAGTTGACTGGTGTGGGTCGCATCCTGGGGACAAAACTGACCTATTTGCCCGAAATGCTCTACATAACAAGCGGCTGAATATATATGTTACTGATGTCTGTTAGGTCTGTATAACCTTGTGTACTTGTAGAAATTAAGAGTATTATCTTCGTCTTATACCTGACTGGAACGCGTCAAGCACCACGTGTCCGCCACTCGTCTAGACTAATGCCGACCAAATAGCAAAAAGTAACAATAATGCAGTATTAAATTTACCGCTCGAGGAATCTGCCTTTTTATTTCTTTATCCCCTTTTTTTAATAATGTGAATAAAACTTACTCTGACGTACTGATAGCGGTGAGCGCCATGTAATGGAGCAGAAATTTTTAATATAGAGAGATGATCAATGCCAGGACAGGAGTCAGGAAAATATATACACAAAGACTTTAAAAGGCAAATAAATCACTTTACTCCAAACGAAGCATCACAACTTGTATATAATAATTGTTTGTATGTGCTCGAGAGAGAGAGAGAGAAAAAAAAGGACCATTTGGTATATGCTGTAAGTACAATCCATAAGACACGCCATTTACAATAAATAATACGATACCGTATTTGAGGCTCCAATAAGAAAAAGTATTGGAACTTCAAGATAGACATTGATCCCTTTGTGAGCGCGCCAGTCTTCACAAAAGCGTAAGGTAACCAGAGCAACAACGTGAAAAACGTTTTAATACTTATATCACATATCAATTGCAATCTGAAATATTTCACGGGAATCTTCATTAATAACTGTTTCGTATATTTGTTTTTAATGGCATTCTGAAAATGTATAATTAAAGGCAGGTGCATGTGGGAATGTCTGTACCAACAGCCTGTAACACACAAGTTCCTATGTACCAACAGCCTGTAACACACAAGTTCCTATGTACCAACAGCCTGTAACACACAAGTTCCTATGTACCAACAGCCTGTAACACACAAGTTCCTATGTACCAACAGCCTGTAACACACAAGCTCCTATGTACCAACAGCCTGTAACACACAAGTTCCTATGTACCAGCAGCCTGTAACACACAAGTTCCTATGTAACATAATAATTTTCTTACAGTTCATTACAGCCTCCTACATCACTGCAGTTCATTACTGCTTCCTACATCACTACAGTTCATCACAGGCTCCTACAACGTCACTGCAGTTCATTACTGCCTCCTACAACATCCTTTCAGTTCATTCCAGCCTCCTACAACATCCTTGCAGTTCATTACAGCCTCCTACAGCATCCTTGCAGTTCATTACAGCCTCTTACAACATCCTTGCAGTTCATTACAGCCTCCTACATCCTTGCAGTTCATTACAGCTCCTACAACATTCCTTGCAGTTCATTACCAGCCTCTACAACATCCTTGCAGTTCATTACAGCCTCCTACAACATCCTTGCAGTTCATTACAGCCTCCTACAACATCCTTGCAGTTCATTACAGCCTCCTACAACATCCTTGCAGTTCATTCCAGCCTCCTACAACATCCTTGCAGTTCATTGTCACAACATCCAGTTCATCTCCTACAACATCCTTGCAGTTCATTACAGCCTCCTACAACAGTCCTGCAGGTTCATTCAGCCTCCTACAACATCCTTGCAGTTCATTCCAGCCTGCCTACAACATCCTTGCAGTCATACAGCCTCCTAACACGCAGGTTTTCCCTCTATCACGCGTTTCATACAACGCGTCTCTAAACCGTCTTTCCCTCTACCAGGCTTCAAATTTATCTTATATTATTCTGTAATATTAAAAATAAGAGGTAAGCCCTGACAGGTGTTGCATGTGCCAACTTAGTGGGTTAGTGGAACCAGGGCTTCAAAAATGTGTAAATAATATATGTTACAGCTGATGAATAATGTCAAGTTGTTTTAGCTAGGAAGTCATTGTGGATTCGCTTTATAGATGAGACTAAACGAGGAGGATGGTTCGAGTATGTATGGGTGTTGTGTCAAAAGTGTATTTCACAAGAGTTACAGAGTGTCTGCTTCTATAAAAGACTATTTCTGAGTTAATTTACAAAGAGCCTAGTGCAATTTAACTAATATAATATTTACAGAGAAGCCAGTTATCAGTCTTAAATTGAAAAAAAAAAGAAACTCGTTTTGGCAGCGCCAACGTTACCTTCCAACTTTTTTTTAAGTCCTTTATAAATGATTTTTTAGGTTGCTGGTGTAGTATTTATAAGAGAAGAACTGCCTTTGTTCCGTGATTATACAATGTTTATCTGCCCATCACACTACCAATGTCTTCCAAAATTATCATCTTAAATCTTCCCCCCGTCAGCCTTCCTTAAACCCCAGCAGGTGTTAAGGTACCTCACTCACTATCACCACACCTAGCAACCTCACTATCACCACACCTAGAAACCTATCACCACACCTAGCAACCTCACTCACTATCACCACACCTAGCAACCTCACTATCACCACACCTAGCAACCTCACTCACTATCACCACACCTAGCGACCTCACTATCACCACACCTAGCAACCTCACTATCACCACACCTAGCGACCTCACTATCACCACACCTAACAACCTCACTCACTGTCACCACACCTAGCAACCTCACTATCACCACACCTAGCAACCTCACTCACTGTCACCACACCTAGCGACCCCACTATCACCACACCTAGCAACCTCACTCACTGTCACCACACCTAGCAACCTCACTCACTGTCACCACACCTAGCGACCTCACTATCACCACACCTAGCAACCTCACTCACTGTCACCACACCTAGCGACCTCACTATCACCACACCTAGCAACCTCACTCACTGTCACCACACCTAGCAACCTCACTATCACCACACCTAGCAACCTCACTCACTGTCACCACACCTAGCAACCTCACTGTCACCACACCTAGCGACCTCACTATCACCACACCTACTAGGCCGCTGACTGGACAAAATCCGAATCTGAGTAAAAATAAAAATAACAGCCGTAGCCTAGTTGCTGGACTGAGGTTTGTGTCTCCATCACTTCCTCTGCTGCTAAGACCCACCTCACTTTATTCCTTACTTTTAAATACTAAGATTTCCATTATTTTGAATCAGATATATTCTTTAAGATTCCAGATGTCGCCGCCAACAATCCTCACACACTTTCCTACTTTCACGATATCGAGAAAAATCTTATTTCCCCCACATTACCTTTACACTATATATGTCGTGCCGAATAGGTAAAACTGGTCACTTAGCAAGAACTCATTTCAAATTAAGTCTTTTCTAGAATGTTCTCTTATACGTTTAAAGATTTTTTTTTTCATTTATGTTAATGCAAAAATAAAATGATTTTGTACCAAAAGAACCTTAGAAAACTTACCTGACCTTATTATAACAAACGCAATTTAATTTAGCTTAATCCGTTAGGTTTAGAATGATTTTTTGCGAAATTATTGCATACACAAATTTTTGCTTGCTTTATTCGGCAAGAAGAGCGTTGCTATTTAAGCCAAAATCACAAGTTTTACTTATTCGGCATGACAAATTTTGTATATTTTCCTCTTTTTGAAACATTTTGTGTTGTCATTACCATGACAGGGTGGGACTGCCCCAGCCTCTGCTTTAAAACATACACCTTCTTTTAGGTAGAAGACTCTCATCTCTTTTTTTTCCGAGGTTTTCTTTTATATCGGAGCGTGAAGGTTGTTTACCGTCGCGCAGGATTGGGAATGGCGTTCTCGCAGCCTGGCACGTTCTCTGGCCAGTCGCAGACGTTCTGGGCGGCGTTGAAGACCAGATTGACGGGGCAAGGCATGTGATGCTTCCTCTCTCCCTCGCACATGAAGTAGCGGGTACAATCTGCTTTGTCTTCGTGGTAGCTGATGTGACCATCCGCCTCGTCACACACGATCACTGTAGCTGCGCAGTGCAACAACGAAAAGAGAGATTAGTGTAACTATATATTATAGAGAGAAGGCCTGAGCTTACTACCACCTGCAGCTCATAAGACTGCCATCCCCACGAGCCCCTTTGGGGCGGGGCAGATGGCAGACCAGAGGCCTAGCTTCTCCCTACGAGCCCCGTGAGGGCGGGGAATGTGGCTAGGCCTGGGGACAGTTGGTCCCAAAGATGAGGGGGTACTTATACCTCCTCCCATGGGAGACTTAGGTCTCGAGACACTCCCCAGATAGGGAGCCAAGGCCGGGTCACCACTACTTGGAAAAGACCCGGGCCGGGAGAATACCGGCGAATAAAAAAAAAAACTGTGTAATACCAGTGTCATTCGGTACAATAAGTGAGAGAGGCTCGATCCTCCGTTCAGAAGTCGCTAGACACAGTTACTCTTGCAGTAAAGTGTACCGTTCCATGATTGTGGAAGTCACTTAGGATAAGTGAGGGAGAAAAAATATTGGATGAAATGGGATGGAGAATATATAATTCGAGACGAGAAGAATGAAGCAGTGTATTATTATGTTCGTGGGGAAA